ATGAGTTGTCGGGTTTTGTTTTTATCTATTTGCTGCACGTTGTATTGATAGTTGGTTTCTATGAATTTAAGTATTTGATGGGGAGCACAATCAGCGGTCTAAGAATCTCCCTCTCCCTCACTCTCACTCTCCCTCTCACTCTCCCACTCTCGGCTCCTCTCCATTAAAAGCTCATGCAACGGCGGATATCTCAAATGTAAGCCGTCAGCAATACGGCTAAGTCAATACCACAAATTAGCCTGTCTGTGACAAAAGAAATTGCCTGTAGATACAGAGCTCTGCTAGGACTTTCTTATCTACTTACATATGTATATGTATGTGAGTGCGCAGATAAATTTTTCTCGCATTAAATTATAAAATGAGTTAATTCATTTCTTCCGCCTGAAGCTACACTTTGTCAGCGCTCATTTTTTGTGTAAGTAGTTGTAAATGCAAAAAACAATACACTTAAGTCCACATTATATACATACATATACCCATACGAGTATATAACGGAGTAGCACTAGGTAAAATTTTCCCTTCCAACATTTTAATTTTTATGCAAACACTTCACATAACAAACATAACTTCGTTAGCACACTTTTAGGCGCTTACAAGCGTATACTACATAAGAGCGCTCATAATTTTTCCCTTTCGCATGCTGACGAGTTCAAGGAGTTTCCAACAGTGGCAAGTCATTAACGCTTCAATGAGTAAAAACTAAAATGCCAGCTCGGCTGTTGCTCATTTACCTGCCGTGGACTCGAGTCTAGACGTACACTTAAACACGTTCTGACCAGAAGCTACTCAGCAACTTGAGCAAACTACCGAGGTTTTTATAGTAAAACATTTTTTTATTATCTTTTTTTTTAATTATTTTTCTTATTCAGCGGTAAGAGAGCAGATGGGTGAGTACAAAAATAAATGAAGTAAATAGAGAATATGCGTAGATACGTTACAGTTATTATGAAAATGCATAAAAGCGGAGTCTTTGGCTGACTTTGTAATGGAAAAGGGAAAAAGAGGCAATAAGGAGTGGGACCACTTTAGTTTGCCGCACAAGGAAATGTGTTAAAAATAATTATTATAGAAAAATGATACCAATAATCTTATGGGAAGACATCTATTTACATATTTACAGACACACGTGAATACTTATAGATGTGTCCACAAACTAAAGCATAAAAGAGTTCAAGCCGAAAATATACTAGACAACAGCAAAAAAGGTAAATGAGCTCCACTCATCTGGATTGTAAATATTTTTTGTCATTTTCTATTTTTAGTAGCGATAGTTTGATGCGCACCCCGTCTTCTTCTTCTTTTTTTTCTTTTTTTCATATTCTTTTATTTTTTTCTTCTCATATTATTTTTTCATATTTTTTTTTCTTGTTTATCCTCTTATAATTTTTTTCTTATTCTTTCTTACCTCGTTTTCCTTCTACTTTTTCTTTTTTTCGTATTCTTTTTTTTCTTTATTCTCATTGTATTTTTTGATATTCTATTCTTTATTCTTATATATTTTTTTTCTTTCCTACCTCGTTTTCCTTCTTCTTTTTCATTTTTCATATTCTTTTTTTTCTTTATTCTCATCTTATTTTTTCATATTTTTTTTTCTTCTTTATCCTCATATTATTTTTTTCTTATTCCTTCTTACCTCGTTTTCCTTTTTTTCTTTTTTTCTTTTTTTTCTTTATTCTCATATTATTTTTTCATATTTTTTTCTTCTTTATCCTAATATTATTTTTTTCTCTTTCTTTCCTACCTCGTTTTCCTTCTTCTTTTTCTTTATTTTCAATTCTTTTTTTCTTCATTTTTATATTATTTTTTCATATTTCTTTTCTTCTTTGTCCTCATGTTATTTTTTTCTTTTTCTTTTCGTTCTTGTTTTTGTTTTTCTTTTTTTTGACATTCTTTTTTCTTTATTCTCATATTGTTTTTTCATATTCTATTCTTTTTTCTTATATTATTTTTTCATATTTTTTTTCTTCTTTGTCCTCATATTATTTTTTTCTTATTCTTTCCTACATCGTTTTACTTCTTCTTTTTCCCATATTGCTTTTCTTATGCTTCTTATTCTTCTTTTTCTTTCTTCTTCTTTTCATCTTTTTCACATTCTTTTTCTTTTAATTATCATCCTTCTTCTTAGTTTTCCTTTTTTTCTTGCTCTTCTTCTTTTGTTTCTTACCTTCCTTCTTTTTCATTTTCTTTTCCATCTTTTTTCTTTTTTTCCCTCTACTTTTCCTTTTCTTTTCTTTCTTCTTCTTATTTTCTTTGTGAACGATAGTTCTGTTACTGATGGATGGAATATGTACCCAGCCCTGCAGTTGGATTGCATCGATCTATGACTTTCTGTTGTCTGGTTGAGAGTTGGATTAATGGGACGCTCAGGTAGTGGAGTTAATTGGAAGTATTGTAAGGAGAGATACCAACAGGAAAGATCAGGCTGTCTGAGGAGCTATGTTATTCTAGCTGATCCTCACGGCGAGGATGTCTGATGCAAGTAATTTCTTGAACGGCCACCAGGGATCCAATAGAAACTACTCATTGGCTCTTTGTCGGCAATAAGAGGGCGAGACAGACTTTAAGTAAGTAGCTCGCTCTAATGACTAGGGATATTAGATGACGCTGACACTGCGGGCTACATATCTCGGAGCCCGGAGCAAATATAAAAGGCGCTGGCTCCCATCAAAAAGAAAAGGCAATCGAAATGTTATCACAAAGGAGGAAAGTCGGTACCGATACTGTTGTCAACTCTTGCTAAATTCGAATGGCTGGGGAAACTCTCTGGAATATCATAAGCTATGTTAGACCAGCCCCTTGTCGGCGCCAAGCTCAATATACCTGATTTGTTGGAAGCACTTGGAAAGGAAATTACTGCTGTCTTCTTCTTTACGGTCGACCTGAAAGCAATTGGTATGAGCACTAACCTCTTTGATACCAGCTTAAGAGTCTATACGAGTATGTGCTGTTGTATGTGTATAAATGGAGTGCATTTCCGTTCCCATCAAACTCTACAAAGACTTCTTACATCATTACATCTGACAAGTAGGGTCAAAGGAGAATTAAGAGAATTTCTCACACAAAGAAAAAACGAAAAACCGAAGAAAACAAAAGATCTGCAATCGGCATACATTTCACAAAATGAAAAAAGAAACACCGTTACGCCCGCAAATACCATAAATATTGGCATGTCTGCAAAAGAAAAAAAAATCAAGCGAACGGTCAAAGATAAGCGGACGTTCAGCTGTTGAACGGTCAGCCTCTCGGTCTCTATTGAATGTCATACAAAGCATAAGCAATTGATGCATAACGTTTTGGACGGCTGAGTTCGAAATGTGTACTCGTAGATAGCGCCAATGGAGATAAGAATGCAATAAAAAAAACTAGTTTTGCAAAATGTTGAAGAAAACAAAAGAAGCAACAGCTGAAATTAAGACTCTGCGTGTGACAATACCTCCGCTGCCAGAAGGAGACTCAGGAGAGCTCATACTGAAATGTTGTGAGTAGATTTTTGCAAAGAATTATTTAATGTAAGTGAGAAACATAGACACTTTCCTTCAGGCAGGGTAGGAATTGGTCAGCAAAAATAAAACGTTGGGCTACACGAAGGAAGGGAGCGGTCCTGGGAGGTGCAAAATGTGAACACGTAGTTTATTGGTAAGCCCATACTTGGGGCTCAGTGCAGTGTATTGTAAATTTAAACGCCTCTCTCATATGGGAGCCATTAATCTCTCCCATTTCAAGACGGGTATAGCCTAATAAAGAGTCGCACATTTCCAGTGGTAGTCCTCGAATGAACCCTTCTAATAAATCATGCATTTCTATGCTCATTATGAATCATTTCAAGGCAGGAGCGGCCCACCTTATTCAAACGGAGCCTGCTATAAGCCGTTCCACCTTCGGGTTTAATCCCGGGTTTCCGGGGTAACCGCATTGTCTCATCTCATTTTTTCGGTCACTGTATGGTTTTATTTTGGTGGAGTACACAAAAGCCTGACATTACTATGAACCTAACAAATTCCGCCTCGAATCTTTACAAACGCACTCGCTGTCCACGACGATTCAAACCAGTTTCAATTGTCTTCAGGTGCTACGGCGATGAAGTCGATCGAGTCGGCCAACACTTTCAAATTTTTCAGGCCTTCCAGACTTCAGCGTCTAATTGGCCAGGGAGAACGCAAACCCTTTCCGCAAAAATCCCACAAAATAGATAAAAAAGAGAGAGAGCTGGAAGAAAACTTGTGATGGGTTATGCGCCTATCCGGTACTAAGGCTAGAGAAACGACCACACTAATGCAAGACTTACAACGCTTAGCGACAGGCTAGTTATTCTAATTCACCGGTTCGGGCCATGAGGAAAAGGGAGAGATGTGTCGATATTATTGGGCATGTAAAGAGATGGTTAGTGTCGTGTGGGACTCGCTACACGATGGACATACGTTAGGCATCTAGGGGTTGGGGTCGAGTTTGGATAGGTAGCAGTTTAACCTGCTACAATATCCAGGCCTTATGTGCGCCAGTATTACGCGGGCCTCTCTAGCCATCTCGAAGTCTTTGTCACAACAATAGCCTGTGAGACCCTAAATCAGACCACATAGATACCACCGGGTAGCCCAAAGTTATTGGAGAGATTAAGTGTCATACCTGCAATAAAACTGACCGAGGAGAGGGTGGCAGCCTTAAATGGGAAATAAGCAAACCTTAGAAATAGGCAGTCGGGACCCGCACTATTACTCTTGTCCATTTCATAGCCTCCGAATTCCGCGCTAGTTGTTTCTTCTGAACAGCGCACTCTCCATTAGCCTCTTAAAAAGGAAAGAAGTGAGGTAGTGAGAAGAATAACCATCGCAATCACAAAACTCTCTCACACAGTAAAACTCCGAGTAGGAAAAGTCGTAATTATTGAAATTTTAGATTTTCTTCAAATGCAACCCTTTCTTGTGAAACACGTGCGCAATATGGCAGCACCGTCGACGGTACAGAAATCGATATACGTTGTATTGATATCGATGCTTTTTATTACTTTTTACTCACTTCTCTGTGTGCATAACAAATTGTGTGCTTCCAATTGCCTTACGACGTGCATTTTATAAAACAAATATTTTAAATAATTGTGTGTGAAAACTTTTGAAGTAAGCAACAAATAAGCCTCAGACGCTTATTTGTTTTCTTCAAACCACAAATTTGTTCAAAATGTCCGCGGGTTGTTCGCACTCACGCCAACGCCAGTTTTTGCGTTACGGCGGCAGTATTCAGGAACTGCACGAACAGTTGCATCAAGAAATTGAGAACAAAGTCAAGCGCTGCTCTAATACCTCTTATGAGTGCACGCTACCGCGTGTAGATGGTTATGAGTATTGCATGCGCCACATCTTACGTGATCCAAGTGGAAATTTCCGTCAATGTAGCTTTATATACACAAACGGGCGTAAGTGTCAAAATGCACTGCTAAAACATGATATTAAGAAAGATCCTGCTTTGACAACGCTTTGCTTTGAGCATAATCGTCAAGAACAGTTGCGAAAAACACATGCCACAGTGGGCAAGTTGAAGCGCACCGATACCAATGAGGTATTATTGAACAATTTGACACATCATATTAATGTGGAAGACGTGCAAGCGGAAGAAGAACCAGTTGCCGAACAGGATGAAGAAATAGATGTAGTATCGCCACATGTAGCACCTTATGGTATATACTCTGCTGTTTAAATTGTCTTTGTGTTATAAACAAGGAGTTTTTCTTTTATTAATAGTGGCACACGATCAGGTAAATGGCCTTAGTACGGTGCTGTGTAACCTTCAAAAAAGACGGCGCTTGTTGGATTATGCCTCTGATAGCTCTAGTGGCGATAATGAACCTGCCAGCCTTAACAACACTGCACGTGGCCGTGAATTTCATGAGTCCGACGATGACAGTGATTGTTCGCAAAATGAAGATTTGTTGAAGTAAGTGCCACTCATTCATATTCTTTTGAATATACTTATTCACAAATGTTTTATTACGTTATGTACTGTTAAATAGACATGCCGGCATATATACACGTGAAGAGACGCTCCGTATTGCCGAATCGAAACTAACAAAACTGCAAGGCCTGTACATTGATCAAATTCACAGCTTACATCATACACTTAAGGAACGCCGGCGTCGCTATTTACAAGCATTACGTAAAGAACGTGAAATTCTTTGTAAGTTAAATTTACTAAAATTTGTTTTTTTTTTTTGGCAATAATAAAAATATGTTCTCTTACTAAAACACTAGGCAGCATACATGATCAATTGAAAGATACGCCACGGGAACGTAAATTGTATGATCAGCTTAAGGCACTAAATACTTATCATCGTCGTTACGGTGTTGAGGCTGTGCTTTATAAAAAATTTAAGGAAAAACGTTCACGCGCTACAGAAGGTTACAGCCATAAAGGTCCGGGCTTCACGAAGTGTGCCTACACAGAAGGCGGCGTTAAGTGCGGTGAAAGGGCCTTGCCTTGCTGTAAATTCTGCCGCAAACATATTTTGGAAGACAAAAAGCAGATACTTTTCCATGCCTGTGAGGTGGAGAAGAGCGGTGTTGTATGTCAGGAACCAATACCATGCATCTTTGACGATGCATCGACTTGTGTCTTGCATTTGACCATGCCGCCACGTCGTCAGTATATGCAGAAGGTGTGTACGTGGTAAAACAAATATACGTCATTTACTAAAACTTAACTAATTTTGAACAAAGCATATTGCATTGCCAAAAATATATATAGATTATATATGGTAAATTGTAAATACATGCCGAATAGATGTATAAAATTTTGTGTATTTACATATTTACCGCTACAGCTTCTTATAATCGTGCTTCCTGGATTTTTGTTAAAGAAAAAACTGAATATTCGCATTATGTTTTCCAATAATTTATTTATTATTTTTTTTTTTAATATTTTTGAAATTAGTTTTTATGACTGTAGCTCATTTGCTCATTTGGTTTAATTCTGTGAATTATTGACTCTTTTGTAATTGTATATACACATCCGTTCTCCTCCATCTTACAGGATTACCCTAAATATGCGCCAACCTGCTAGAAGCGCTATGCAGGGAAAGGGTAATTTAAGACTGTGACATTGTGAATGCCAAATAAACAAAAATGAATAATTATTGTAATAATTAAAAGGAATATCTATTAAATTAGTATTTAATTATTGCTCTTGCTCTTATGTTAATATATGTTTGTGCATATGTATGTAATGTGTGAAAATCAAGTCGAATTTAGGTACTAATTCTAATCACCAAAAAAACAAAAACAAATACGAAAAGTTTGCACAACCACTTAATGGAACTTAATCGTTAAGTAAACAATGATTTTCACGCAATAATATTAATGGTTTATACCGATTACTTAACATTTTTCATTGCAGAAAGACGATTCTGAAACCGAGGAGGATGATATTAAGGACGAAAATTTAGAGTGCGAACCACAAGAGTGTACAAAATCGTACAAACAAGTAAATTTAAAGCGTGAGAGTGTAAATCCAGCAAAGCCTATTGCCAATGCTGCACTTTCGCATGGCAGCAAGAACATTGCATCAAAGTTGAAGTCGGGTGAATAAGCAGCTACTTGCAAGCCGACCACAACAGCAATAGCCAGTGAATAGAATAGAAGAGTGTGCTATATGTATTTTTTTACATAAGCGTAAACATCAATATTTTTTTTGCTAGTAAATTTTTAAATATAAAATATTTTTATTTAGAAAAATTTCAATATAGATTCGTAGAATGTTATTAATAAAGTGTTAGTCGTTTTAATATACATTATTATTTACTTCTCTACTGATTTTGAATGCTTTGGTACCCAATTGATTGCTGAAAATTTCCAGTCGCCGTTATTTTTTCTTTTGTAAAGAAATAAAACGGAAACACAATAATGACACTAGGATTGCTGTGAGCGGATATGTAATAGGTGACGCAAATGTACAATGCCACAGTTTGAAAGCCACTATTTGACTTCTAGCAGTTGAATGCAATGTAAACGCGCGCAAAGACGATTTCCGCTCATTCGCTACATTTCTCGACAAAATTATTATTATTAAAAAGTGGTGTATGTACAAGAATAGGATTTTAAACGTTGAAAGGACTTACGGCCAATATTCTTCACCGATTTGTATATTTGTTCGCGGTGAGGTAACTCAGTTTTACACAATAGAAGCTGAACAAAAGTTTGAAAGCTACTGTATGATTTGTTACACAGTCTGTAGTTGCAAAAGCAATGGATTGATTGTAATATCTTAAGAAGGGCCACTTGGAAATAATGTGTGAGCAACAAGTATACAGAAAGACACTTAAGAGATTTTCAATTTTCCCGTTTTTATGTTACACACACACACATCATTCAACGATATCCACTTTTTCTCCTCCCCATCAGCCAACTTTTGGTCGATAGCTTAACTGGGTGAACGCATGCACTGGGCGACATAAATTCTTCTTCTCTCTTATCACAAATTCAACTAAGTATGACCACTGTAGTACATTTATAGTGGTCGTCCTGAAAAGTGGGATTTTCTCATCCGGGGATATTTGTTTAATATTTTCATTGGTACAGATTTTTTATGTGGTACGAGGCTTGTGTTCTGTTCTTAGCTCGCCCTCAGATGTATCTTTATAGGTTGCATCGGCACATGATCGATAATAAAATATGGTTTATCAAACATTTTTTTTATAAGAAAATCGAATTGAATTAAAATTGAACTGACATAATATATTGCATGACATAAAATATTATATGTATATATTACAATAGGTCTTTGTAACCGTCGAAGCGATTTTTGGCGAATTGAAAAAAGATTAACATAAAATATGGTCTGACATAAAATATGGCCCGACATAAAATATGGTTTGACATAAAATATGGCTCGACATTAAACGTTGATAAACTTCGAATATGGATATACGCAAAACAATGCTGTTGATAAAATATTGCTCTCACAAACTTACTAAAATCTGGCAGGGTATTTTTTTGTTGTAATATAAACAAATGAGAGTGTTAGTCAATGAATGAGTGAAACTGAAAAGCAACAAAAATTTACTTGAGTATTTTGTGTTGTTGCTTTTATTATATTATTTTCAATGTAACACCTCTACTCTCTTGTTCTTGTTGTTTCGACAAGTTTTTTTCCCTATTTTTTTTGTGAAATTCATTGTTTTTATTTTGGTTTTGACTTTCGTGTTATTCCAGCAAGAGCCATTGTTTATTTTATTATGCTACATCATCAACAATTGGAGTGGTGTGCGTGAGCAGTTTTTTTTTTTGTAGAACATTTGTGTGAATGTAAAGATTCTTACAAAATTTTGTTGGTAGCGTGTATGTGTGTTTATGTATTTAAATGTATACGTATATGTATGTATGTATGTATGAGCGCAACAATTGTTGCAAATACAATAAAAAGCGTCATACTCAAACTTGTCCTTGGCCCAAGTACTCAAGTAATACAGTTCAAACAGGTGTAAAATTTTCTTTTCTTTTAGTTATGTGCAAATGAATGTAAATACGACTGTATGTATAGATAATAAAGCCGGATTTTTAAATATTTACAGATATACGTACATATACACTTACATACATCACATATCAAGTATTGTCGAGGATATCCTTTTCATGATTAAGGTGCAGATATTGAGACGTAATTTTCACCAATTGATCCTCTACTCTCTCTACCTCATTTGCATTTAACACTAGACATTGTGCCTCAATCTCCTATCTAAGGAGAGTGATATTTCTCGGCGGTCCGTTGGAGTTTTATACTCCCAAGCTCCGTCTCGCTGGAGTTGACACAGAGTCTACATCAATTTTGGGAAAAGTTTAACTTCTTTATAGTTTGTAAAATGTTTGTGGATTTTTTTAAATTCGAGTTAATCTTACCCTTGACTGTTACTGTTGAGGTCTACTCAACTCTTGGGGATAGTTCTGTAGTACATTTTTGTGGATACACTCTTCTTCAGAGCTATAGCTGGTACAAATACTACTATTAGCTCTGCAGCTCTACACCAAACTAACTCTATTGCTCTCCCTCTATCTCTTCCTCTCTCTCTCTCTCTCTCTCTCTCTCTCTCTCTCTCTTTCTCTCTTTCTCTGTCTTGGTATCATCATAATTTAGTTGTTTATCCAATATTATTGATTGATGGGACTTTCATGTCAAGAACCCAATTGCTGGTTGACATTCCCTGTAGAGGAACGATCGCCTTAAAGAATTTATTTATTATCAGAACATTAGAAAATAAATACTATATAAATATATTGACTCCAGCGCCACCCAGCGAATTAATATTTTTATTACATATTTTGCAGCCATCCCATGACAAAGATCTGCGCTGAACACTTCCAAGGGCTTTCAAACTGTTAAGGCTTGTAACTTCAACAGGAACAACTAATTAATTTTTATTTTCGTGAAAGCACTTAAAAATGGTCTGTACTTTAAGCAAATACACAATGAAATTAGTAAAAAAATGTTCGGTTGTGACGCAAAAGTCAAATAAGAACACGGTTTTGTGGAATTTCTTCAGAAGTTATTCGTAGATGTAGATATTAATAATATTAAACTATTTTAATAAAATATACATTGGTATTAGAAGTGTGGGGCGAAATACAAGGAATGAATAGGCAAAAAAATATCTCATGACTTCTTAAACAATCTGAAAGGAGAAAGACGGAAAGCTTCAGTCAGGCCTACTAATCAGTTTAACAATATTGCTCTAAGTGGGGTAAACCAGGTTCTAGGCGGTTCCTGTGGAAATCTAAAATATTTTCTTGTTATATGAAAATGAAATAAAATCAAATTAATATATATAAAGCGGTATATAAATAATAAATAAAATAAAATAATTATTAATACATATAATTAAATAAATAAATAAAGTAAATAAATAAATATGTAAATTTAAATAAGAAATTTCGTAATTTAAAAAAATAATCTTATAAATAAATAAATAATTATAAATAATTCAATAAAAAATAATAAAATTAAATGAGCAAACAGTACCTAAATCAAAAAAAAAAAATTAAAAAATAAATATTTAAATAAACAAATAAATAAATAATTAAAAAAATTATTTAATTTGGTATAAAATAAAAATGTATATAAATAATTTATGAAACTTATAAGAATATATATAATAAAAATAATAATAAATAATAATTTATTAAATAAATAAATAAAATTAAAAAAAAAATATAATAATTAGTAATTAAATAAATAAAAAATATACATTGAAATAATAAATAATAAAATTAAATAAGTAAATAAATAAATTGATTATTAATGGAATAAATTATAAAAATAATTAAAAAAAAACAATTGAATAAACCATAATGTAAAAAATAAAAAAAATAATATATAGTTAAAATAAAAACATAAATAGATAAAAAAATGTATATATAATAAGTAAACAAACAAACAAATATATAAATAAATAAACAAATAAATAAATAAGTAAATGGAGTATAAAAAATGTTAATAAATAAATAACTAATTATATAAATAAATCAAAACAAAAAGAGAAATAAATAATTAAATATATAAGCAAATAAATAAAAACATGCTATTAAACAGTAAAAAAATTAATAAATTGATAATATATATTAAATAATGCATAATGGAATAAACTAAATAAATAAATAAATGAATTAAATAACTAAATAAATGATTATATTAAATAGATGTATAATATAATAAATAAATAAAAATATTAAAATGAAAACATTAATAATTAATTATATATAAATAATTAAATATATAAACAAGCAAATAAATAAATAAATAAGTAAATAAATAATTAAATAGCATATAAAATCTAAATGTATATAAATAATAATTTAAACGAATAAATAAAAGTAGTTAAACAATTTATTAAATTGATAAATAAAATAAAAAATTTAGAAAAAAAATAGTATATACATAATTAAATATCAAATAATAAAATTATATAAATAAATATATAAGTAAATAGATAATAAATTAGAATAAAATAATTAAATGAATAGCAAAATTATAAATATGCTAAATAATACTATAAATAAATAAATAAATTCCATTTAATTAAAATAAATACATAAATAAAAAAATAGATCAATAATCAACAAATAAATAATAAATAAATACATAAAAAAATAATTAACAAATAAATAAATAAGAAAAAAATATATATTAGTAAAAAATAAAAATGTATATGAATATTTTATTAAACGAATAAATGAAAATATATAAAAAATTTATGCAATAAATAAATATCTAAGTTATAAGCAAATAAATAAGAATATACAACAGTAAGTAAATACAAACACAGTATATACATAATTAAATGATAAATAATAAAATTATATAAGTAAATAAATTAATTGAATAAATAAATTATATAATAAAATAAATAAGTGAATCATATATAATAAATAAATAAATGAATTAATAATTAACAAATAAATAATTAATAAAAAAAATTAAATAAATGAAATAAATTTACAACAAAATGTATTCAATAAATAAGTCTAAGCAAATAAATGAAACAAAATTGATAAAACCAAATATTATATAAAACATAAAACATTAAAAATAAAATCGTCTTCGACTACTACTCTACACACCCATACATATAATTGTTTAATTTTTTTTTTTATAAATACGCAAAATATTCTTACAGAGTACAAGAAATTCAATCGTACGACAGTGCGTATACGCAACATAATTGACAAAGTAAAAAAAAAACATTAAGCACATACTATAATACATACGCGTTTATGCATACATACAAAAGCGCAAAATACGTTTAATATTCAACAATTTCGAGTAAAATCCGAAAACTTAAAACTTAAGAGATTCGAGTGAAAAACGACATACAAACAATGAAAGAGAATCACAGAAATATTCCATAGAGTGAGAAAATTTAAGAGAAAATAGTTTTTTTGTGCTATATTATGAATAAATATACACACATATTTCAATATAACCATTTCATAAAATTGTTCTCCTATTCAGTATGTGTACAATGTCAGTAACTAGATAGTTAATATGTATATATACATTGTATTTGAGTTTTTAAAGCAGCCACTTGTGGCAGCAGTGGAAATCGTTAAAAAATGATTCTGTTACACATATTTCAAATTATGTAAAAAAAAGTGCAACTTCTTTGGAAGGAGAATATTTATTTTTCTATTGAATTTTCATTTATTTTTTTTTATTAATTTTCGAAAAATTTGGACTGTATATTGCAAAATACTGGCATAAAGTTGAAATAAGTTAGGTTGATTTGCGCTGGCTGTCTTCTACGTCGCTCACAGCACTGTTGGGTCTTTATAGTACTAGAAAGTGGTTAAATGTAGTACGATATTAGGTAGTCTGCTTACTTTTTCCACCTCTACTGGCTCGTTCTACCCTCCAACGTGAGCTTATATCACAGTTTTTTGTTTAGAACCAAGCCGAGATAATGTTTTTGTGTACCTCATTTGCCGGTGCCATACCATTCTGCTGCTCACGTTTCTACTCAAGGCAATTTTGCGCTATAGTAAATATTTTAAATTATTTTATTAGCATTTACCACCAAATTAGCTAGCGTCGCCCAATGAAGTATGACTTTCAGAGCGCTCTTAATCATTTTACTGGTAGGGAATCTCAAGTACTCCGAGTGTATGTCTGTATTTTTTTGTATTGTATTTTTTTACACTATTTTTATTTTTTTTTGATTTTATTTATTATTTTTCTTTATTTTTTTTCGTTATTTTTATTACTTTTTTTCTGATTTATTTTTTTGTTATTTTTTTTTTATTAATTAATTTTTCTTTTCTTTTTTTATTTATTTTTTTTTTATAATTTCTGAAATTATTATTTTTTATTAATTAATTTTTCTTTACTTTTTTCTCTAAACTTTTTTTATTTATTTTTTTTTATATTATCTGAAATTTTTCTTTTTTCAAAGACGCATACCATAAATTGGAGGGCATCAAGAAACGTCACTTCCGCAATATTAAAAGAATTTTTTTTTTATCATTTATATTTCATTTCACGATTTTACACGATTTTTTATAATTTTTTTGATTTTATTTATTGTTTTTCTTTATTATTTCATTATTTTTATTTCTTTTTTTAATTTTAATTTTTTATTTTTATCATTTTATTTTTTTTTTTTATTTTTAATTATTTAATTAATTTTTCTTTACTTATTTTCTTACTTTTATATTTTTTTTATTTATTTTTATATTTTCTGAATTTTGTTTTTCAAGGACGCATACCACAAATTGGTGGGCACCAAAAAATGTCACTTCCGCAATATTAATAGACATTTTTTTTACTATTCATATTTAATTGCAAAAAATTTTTTACACGATTTTTATAATTTTTTTAGATTTTATTTATCTCTATTTTTTTCTTTATTTTTTCGTTATTTTTATTTCTTTTTTTTTGTTGATTTATTTTTTTTTTATTTTTTTTATTAATTAATTTTTCTTTACTTTTTTTCTCTAAATTTTTTTTATTTATTTTTTTTATATTTTCTGAATTTTTTTTTTCAAAAACGCATACCAAAAATTGGAGGGCACTAAGAAATGTCACTTCCGCAATATTAATAAATTTTTTTTTATCATTTATATTTCATTTGAAAAATTTTTTTACACGATTTTTATAATTATTTAGATTTTATTTATTGTTTTTCTTTATTTTTATTTTTTTCCTTTCTTTATTTATTTTTTAATTATTTTTTTATTAATTAATTTTTCTTTACTTTTATTTCTCTTAATTTTTTTAAATTTATTTTCTTTATTTATTTTTTTTTTATTTTCTGAAATGTTTTTTTTTTTTCAAATATTCCTTCAAAGAATGCAAAATGTCCTTCAAGTTCATTCATCTTTTCGAAGCTAAAACAACAAAACTACAATACACATGAACGGGCATGAAAAGGAAGCTTGAAATTAAATTTACGTATTGTTATTGTTTGCTCTTCGAGTGAAATTTCAAATTCAAATTTCAGTGCTCTCACGCAATCAAATTACACTCAACTTTCAAATTTCGCTTAATTCTCACCAAGAGTGCTTCGAACTCAGAGAGCAATGCATTCTCTAAGCATACATACACTATACGCTGCGAAAGTTACTCAACAACATTTTGAGCATTCTCCCACCACCATATCCCAACCTACTGGAAGAGCTGCAGATGTTTACATTTTACCCTTGTCAGCTGCTGCTGCCGCTGCTGCTACTAACCTTTGTACGACCACCTGCTCACACCAACACCATGGCTATGACTGAGACCCACTAACCCACTGCTGTGGCGAGCTGCAGAATAACTGTTGTTGCTCGTGTCGTCGCTACTGCTGCTGCTAGCGATGGTTTTTATCACTGCCACCGTAGGCGGCGCAGCAACGCTTGGCACTTCGGGCAAAGGGTTCGCGCCTGTCAAACGACTCACAATCGGCGGGCTGGCTGGCAGGCAAGCAGATACACAAGATACAGGCTAAAAATGAATGAATGAATGTTTGGTTAGGAAAATGCTCAAACAGTTTTTGTTTGGACAATTTTGAGTGTGAACTGGAGTGAGTTGATTTGCTAAGTTTTTTGTGTGCTTTTCGGTAGCGTCAACTTTTTTTGGTGCGTTTGAGCATTGCTCTATTGTGTGGGTGAATTCACTAGACAATTTTTATGTATATACGTATGTTTTATAAGCAGCGCTGCTGCTGCTTGCTGTCTTTGACTTTTCTCCATTTCGGTCCATCTGCGCCTGGAAAGCGATGCTGAGCGCATTAAGTCGTTTGGGTACAACGAGTAAGGACGCATTTTGTGTAATGCAACGGTCGATCACGTCGGTGTATTTTGCTGTAGCACAGTTGTAGCTTGTTTGTATTTAGTAGTTGAGCGTTTGTTTGTGTTGTAGTTGCAAAGAAGAAGAAATTAAGAAAGTACTACGCGCGATACACACACACAAACACACACACTCAAACATACATATATACTTTCATACAAACATACGTACACAATCCGTGTGTGTGGCATAAGAAGCAAAAGCAGAAGAAGCAGAAGAAGAAGAAGAAGAAGAAATTTGCTAAAGTTTGAAATCTGCGTTGCATGCAATGCACAGTCAGCGAGTAGAACGCAACAGTAAAAGTTGTACAATTGAAGAAGTACGAAAATCTGAAATAGCCTTTAAAGCTTGTGCGAGCCACTGAGGTGCCAACGAAATAATTTTTCTGTGAAAAAAAAATTTTTTTTTTCAAAAAAATTCCAAAAATTTCCTAAAAGTGTGTATGAAAAATATTTCGAAATTTTTGTGAATTTATTGCGAATTAAACACGCAGCACTCGTACTGTGAAAATTGAAACAAAATAATATATGAAAACTATTTTTATTGCATACTTTAAGGCGCACTTGCATGTCTTTTCGCCCATAAATAAGGCATTTAACGCTACAGCAAAGCAAAAATTTTCCACTTTTACTTTAAATTAAGCATAAATGTATTCGTCACGCTCGTGAAATCCTCGCAATAAAAATTCCAAGTAATCAAATTGTGCATAAAAATAAAATCAAAAATAATTTTTTTTTTTGTTAACACAGTGCAATTATTAGAAAGTGAAAAATCAGCAAAAGTAAAATATACACAAAAATTCCCCCACAACGAGTGATTTTGTGCGTACGTGTAGAGTGAAAACGACGACAACCTGCTGCGAAAATATACACGATTCCCATAATATTCCTGCTATTCCCACAATATTTCTGCTGATTTCGACAATTTCTCTGTGAAGTCTGACAGTCTCGCTGATTCGCGTACTTGTGTGTACATAACTCCACAAACTTCGCATACATACATAAATACATATCTCGAAAATATATACGTGCATATAAAGATATTTCCAAGTGTTGCTTGGCAGCTGGATAGATAAATAGATTGGGTAGATGGATAGATAACAGCCACTCAAGTATCTAGTCAAGTGTTGTGGAAACCTCTGTGTTGAAAAAGCAGTGAAAGCCAGTAAAGCCGTGGCAGCAGACAAACAGCAGCAAAAGCGAAATAGCTTCTAGCTGAAGTGGCGTACAGCTTGTTAGGCAAATCGCGTGGCAGCAAGTGTCAGGAGACCGTTTTTTCCGTGTTGATTGTGTGGCCTCGAATGTCTCAATCAAGTGAAAATTAGACAAAAAATTATGAAAATTTTATAAAACAAATTGAAAGCAAAATTTCAAGTGTTCAGCTAGCAGAAGTGGTTGTTATTGTAAAGAAAATAAATAAATAAAAATAATTATAGTATGAAATTTTGAAGAGAATGTGGTGATTTTGCATATAAATAATAATATTGAATAATTGTCTGGGTTGAATTCATATGAAAATTTTTGGAAAAAAAAGAAAAAATCTAATTAAAAAATAATGAAAATCTTTTAAATCCTAATCAAAATTAAAAAAAAAAAATTAAAAAAAAAATAATAATAATATTGAAGAGTGAATAGTAGCGAAAGGGTTTCGAAGAAAAATCGCCCATAAATTACTTAATTGTGCACTTAAACGTATAAATTGCGAAACTGTAAAATGACACCCTTGCAGTCGTAAAATTTTTTCACAACAACAGCGTTAGAACACGTGAAAAGCTGACAAAAGGAAAAGGTGCGCTTATAAAGTAGTTTATTTAATTTTTTCATCAAAAAAAAAAAATGTTTTGCTCGTTTTTTTTAGGCAACCCAAAGCAAGTATTTATATCTGAAAATATTGGCTATTTAATAAAAATGTCGTTACCGTTAAATATTTTACACTCGTTATTAAAATTTGTTGAATTATGATTTTTAAAATTTTGGTTTTAATTCAATTTAATTAATTAAATTAACTTTAACTGTTTATTGTTCTAAATTTCCTTTATATTACGGGTATATTTTTTATGTTTAATTTTTTATTTACATTTAATTGCATTTATTTATACCTTATTTTATTTTATTTAGTTTTATGGTACTCATTTTTTTATATTTAGAATTTTTTATCAATGAATTAATTATATAAAGTACAAGTTTATTCGATTCGAATTCACTTCAATATATTTTTATTATTAAATTTCAAATATATTATTTTCAATTACTTTTAACTAATTTAATTTTATTTAATTCATTATAATAATAAACTATTTAATAATTATTTTCATAATTTATTTTATTTTTTCAGCTTCTTTGAAGTATTTTTTTTTTAATTTTTAATTCTTTTTTTTATACTATATTTCCTTAATTGACATTTTGTTTAGTTTTACATATTTAATACTTTATTATTATTTGTATTATTTTTTAATACTTTTAATTTATTTAATTTTATTTAATTCATTATAATAATAAACTATTTAATGATTATTTTCATAATTTATTTTATATTTTCAACTTCTTTGAAGCACTTTTTTTTAATTTTTAATTCTTTTTTTTACACTCTATTTCATTTATTAAAGTTTGTTTAGTTTTACTTATTTAATAGTTTATTATTTTTTTGTATTATTTTTTAATAATACAATTAAAATAAATTTAACTCAGTTTTATTTAGTTTATAGCTTTTAATCATATACATATATTTATATTTTATTTTTTTTTGTATTATTTTCTTTATTTATTTATTTATTTTTTTTTCTATAACTTAAATTGATTTATTAAAATTAATTCGAATACTTTTTTTGATTCATATATTTTAAATTTTATTTTTTATATTAATGTATTTTATTATATTTTAATATAATTTTTTTTTCAAATTCAAAATTCAAAGTTATTTATTCTAATTAATTAAATGAATTTTTTAAACTTATTTTTAAGTTTAATTTAAATTAATAATATTTAATTTAAGACATTTGGTTTTATTTTATTATTCTTTAATTTGTCTTAATTAATTTTATTTAATTTTTTTGTTTAAATTTTTATAATTTTTTTTATCCTTTTTTAGTACTTTATTTTATTGCATTCTATTTTATATTTAATTGCTGTATTTTATGCTATTTTATTTTATAACTTTTTGATTTTAGTTTTTATTATTGGTATTGAAAAATAATATAATAAATTTGCTTATTATATTTCATATAATTTCGTTTGAGTAACTTTTTTTAGATAATTATATATTTATTTTTATTTTTATTTTTATTTGATTTTAATTCATTTATTTAATTTTGTCGTTTTGATTTTCCTTATTGAGTTCTATTTAATTTAATTTGATTTTATATCCTTTCAGTAAATTCCATTGTATTTTATAGAATTATAATTAATTATAGTTTATTTTATTTTATTTTATTATATATGTTTTATTTAGTTTAATTTAGTTTACTTTGTTTGATCTTTTTCTATTAATTTTTTTTTGTATTTATTATATTTAATTTTAATATTGTTTATTTTCATTAATTTTTTATTTTATTGTAATTTACTTTTTTTGTTTATTTTGCTTTTGTTAATAGTAAATGATTTTATTTTAACTCATTTTAATTTAGTTTATTTTATTTTATTTTATTTCATTTAGTTATGTCTTGCACATTGCATTTTTCTGATTTTTCAATTTTATTAATTATTTCAATTATAATTATTAAATTTATTTAAAATTTAATTGACGTTGTTTTCTATTACTGAGTTTAGTTGTCATTATAATTATTTATTATATTTGAGCTTATTTCATTTCGCTCTATTATATTAATTTTCTATTTATTTTAATTAAAATTTAAAATTTAATTGATCTTGTTTTCTATTACTGAGTTTATTTATCATTATAATTATTTATTATATTTGAGCTTATTTCATTTCGCTATATTTTAATAATTTTTTAATTATTTTAATTAAATTTATTAAATTAATTTAAAATTCAATTGATGTTGTTTTCTATTATTGAAGTTATTTACTATTATATTAATTTATTTTATTTGATAATTTATTAATTTTTTTCTTTTTTAAGAAAATTCGCATGCGTTGGAAATGATATTTAGAAAGTGATTTAAGTTATTTTCAGAATACTACGTTCGGCTTTAGACTTTAAAGTAAGTTAAGACTAATTTTTTCGTCCTTTTTTTGTTTGAATAAAAGCTTTTAATTATAAAAAATATCTTTTGAAGAAGTAAAAGTTTGCAAAATTTGTAAATAATATTTTAACAAAAATTTGATGCGACTGATTTTATAATAAATTGCTTTCATTACGGGAAACTATAATGAAATGTTGTTATATATACCCAAGATACTACAAAAATATATCTAAAAATTTTTCCACCGAATTTTATGCGGTTAACAATCTTCGAAATGTTTTTATTCAATAGAAAACAAAAATTGAAATTAATTTAATTAAATCTAAAAATTTGTAATAAAAAAAATACACGTTTTTCTCTGTTTTGAAAATATATCGAGTTTACTTCTACCTAAAACGTATCCAAATCAATTTATTAAAATTAATTATTTAAGCGAAAAATAGAAATTATTATTAGTAAGTGTTTTCTGAGCTCAACAAGCAAATCATGGAATTGAATTTTAATTTTATGTTGCTAATTTGTCGAAAATTAGATTTTCATGAATAGAAATTTGCAGAAAATTTTGTTAAATTTGCAGTAATAATTTTTATTAATTTAAAAGTATGTGTGTGTTCAAGATATTAATTTTGATTAGTAAAAGTCGCGATTTTTATTTATTAATGGAAAAAATTAATAAAATTAATAAGAAGATACCAAATGTGAATACTTAAATTTTAACGTTCAAATTTTTCAATTTTTGAAAAGTGAAATTTTTTTTCGGATTGAAAATACAGTGGCGGTTAAGTAAAGTGTTCATTTAGTATATAAAACATTATTTTCTTCGAAAAACCTCCTCTCCTACAATATGAAGTTCCAATGAAGCATTTTTTGTACAAACCAAAAAAAAAAATGAGATTTTTGTACGGTTGCCAGGAGTACAATTTTCCAAAAAGTAAGTCGTGACAAAGGCTTTGCCATAATCTGGGTATGCATTATATGACAGGGGTTGGTTGGATTGGATTCTATTTATGAAGCGATGAATCAAAGTTTATATTCAAGACTCCTAAAGAATAGCGTTTTCCGCTCTAGAGATAAGTTTTTATTGGAAAATATTATAACCTACCTCAAGTATACCATTTTGAGTGCCTTTTGAATGATGTGATACAGTTTATACTAACCATAGCTACTTCAGCCAATCAATCATAGAAGTGTTATCCTGGGTATCAATGTCGTATAATGTTTAGGGTTGAACAGTGATGGCGGAACACCTCGACAGACTTTTCCTCTTCTACGCCTTTGCAGCTTCGACAAAAATCATGTGAAAAGTAACCCATTAAGCAGTGTCCCATCAGTTAGTAGTATATAGTATCAGCGAGTTGAGCTTTAAGCATATAAAGCAGGCCAAAGCTATCTAGACACGTTGCAGGTCCTTTCGTTTAGTTAAATTGGCTGTGTTTGCGAAAGCCAACTTCGGCCTGAGTTTTGACGTAGACAAGGGTATAACCGAGACGTGCGTGGAATTTATAATAGTTAAAGTCGTATCTTCTCTCGCTAGCTCATCTGCCATATAGTACATATATTCTACACGTTTTAATTTTATTTTTTATAAAATAATATTAAAAAATAATTTTATTATAAAATAAATTTGACAAAAAAGTTAAAAAAAAATTACGAACATTTATTTTATCAAATAGTTTTTTTTTGTTTGTAAAAATTAATTTTATTACCCAATTTTTTATAAAAACAAATCCCGTAAAATTTTTATTTTAATTAATTTAAGGAAATAACTTTTTTATAATAAATAAATTATATGAAAAAGCATTTTGGAATAACAATAAATTTTATGAAATGATGTTTTCATAAAAAATACGTGTTTTTTTCAAATAAAATTAATTTAATAAAATAATTTTATTCTTTTTTTAAAATAAAATAATTTTATTCTTTTTTCATAAACATAAAAATGCACGTGAAAAGAAGTTAAAATTAAATATGTAAATTTTTTAATAAAATCGCATTGAAATATAGCTAAAAATATAGTTTGTAAATATTTATTAATTAATTTTTATTGGAAACATTTTTTTGCAAGTACTTTTCACTGGCACAGCATAAATTTACAAAAAAAATAATTTTTAAATGATTAAATTCTTAAAATTATTCAAAACACAATCAAAATATTCCGAAAAAAATAAAAAAAATATTTGTATGTGTGCGTATTATTATGACACATACGCATATGTACACACACACGCGTATCTACATCAAAATGAATTAATTGCTAAATTTGCGAATATCTGATTATTATACTCAGCTTTTATGTAGTATGTGCACTCAAGAGAGCCATTATGTTTAAATAATAAATTTGTAAATTTTGCAAAGCATATTTTGAATATTTTAAGTTCATACAAATATTATACTAGCCCATGCATAGCTAATACTTTTGCCAGGGGTGGCTGTTATCGCTGGAAAATCAACCTTAATTGATTTCAAATCCACTTTTGTAGCTAAAATCAAAAGCAGTAATCTGTTTTATAAATTTTGTCAATTAAAATATTTAATTTTTTTTTGTCATACATACCCACATACCAGTTTTGATTGATGGATTTTATGTCTAAAGTAAAACAGATATTGGTTTAAGCATAGATAAAATCTAATATGTTTTTAAAATATA